TTGTGAAAAGTTCTTCCCCAATGTAAAAAGTCCCTGCCCCAGGATAGATAGCAAAGCTTCCTGTGTGCTTTCCTATGTCAGGTTTGTGTTCTGTTTTCAGGTGGGGCACATCTTCATTTAATGTGGTAAGTGAACAAAATAACTTAAGCTTCACTGTGTCTGAAAACAGGTAACAGAAAACAGTCAGAAAAAATATGCCCTGAATTAGTCTGACTGAAAATAGTTAAAAGCCTAGCAGAAGTTATTTTGCACATCCTTAGCAATTTTTTTTTGAGTCCAGTTTTTGGTGTACAGAGTACTTGGGCACATTATTAATTGTGCCTCTAGGGTAGCCCAGTTGGGTTTTTGTTTGTTTGTTTTTGTTTTTAGTATAACACTGCTGGCATCTCTGAAAATTGAAGTACATGGATATAATTGCAAAATTATATTTATTGCTGTTGAAAAATGATTATTAACCCTGCAGCCTTCTGTCTGCTAAACAAGTGTAATCTAAGCAGCAGAAGTTACCATGCCCTTTGCTCTTGGATGTGTAGGACCTCAGTCCTACTCTGGTAGAGTGTGGTGGGGCCCGAGAGGGTTTTTGTGTCTAGTGCCTAATTCTTCACCTGTTTTTCCACCAAACCTGCTCAGTGGATATCTAGTAATTGGTGGGTGACTCGTTGTTTTTATATGGGTTATTCACTAGATGTTACAGAGATCTTTCCCCGTTATCCACACTCTCCTTTGTGGTGAGAAAATTGCCTTCTGCTGGTCATAGTTTTCAGTCTTTGTCTCCACACAGTTCCTGAAGCTCGGGATCCAAAGAAGGGTTTTTTAAATTTTTTTTTTATCAAAGATTGGTCTAGAAGCAGTGGAGTGAGCACAGTCTGTCTCCCAGATTTTGTAAGCCACCCAAGTCTCCTTTTAAATATAGTTATTAGTTACAGTTTGTATTTTGTAAATATTTTCTTTGCAATGATTTATGGTTCTTAACCTCCTCATTATGATTCACAACATTTTGGGCCGCCTGCTTCCTGGGGGAGAGGATGGAGGGTTGTTTTTTACTTTTCTGTAACTTAGACCTGAAGCGGTTCCAGTTCTAGAAGCAAGTGGGAGATGGAAACGGAATGTGCCGGGTATTAATAGTCTCTGTGCTGGCCTGTTGCATTGGTGTTTGGCTGTCTCGTTGGGGAGGTAGCCCTCTGTCTGGCCACGCAGGTGGAGATCTGCTCAGAGCTCAGGTACCACTGGAGCCCCTGCCTCCCTCCTGCCAAAGAGGAATCCTTTGCAATTGCTTGTTCTCCAGCTGCTTTAGGACAGAAGAGTCTAGTTGAGAGGTGGGAAGATGGCTATAGAGCTGCTCTCAAAGTTTTCAGAACACCCTCACGTTGCCAAGCGTCCGTCTCCCCCTTTACGTGCATATATGCATGTGCATACATCCATGCTTCTCTTGGCAGCTGCCTCTTCTTGCTTAGGGTTTCCTTACTGCTGGCAGCGGTAGGGGGGGAGCTGGCACAGGGGCACGGGCAACAAGTAGTTAAAAGTGAAGCACATCTTGCACGTGTCCTGAGCTCTGATGCATTTCTTGGTGACCTTCAGCAGAACTTGAAGCTTGTGTGTGCAGTTGTGAATGACGTTATCACCTGCATAAGGATATGTTAGGCAGACTATGCAGAAGAGGTGAGGTGGATCCAGTACTGTTTCTAAACACAGTGTCTTTGCCACGGCATGTCTCTGTTCCCTGATGACAAGCACTGAGGCCTGGGGAACGTGTATGAGCTCCCTCCCAAGCTGAATCACTGTCTGTAGCGAAGGGAGAGGGCTGGTTCTGCTCTGTGAAGTGTTGACGTGAGGCCAGAAGGAAGAAGCTGAAACGCAGTGTGGGGAAGGAGTCAGGGTGGGGAGTGGGCACTCAGTGAAATGTGGGCTTTTATCATCTGGCTTGGTCAGGGTAGTGCTGTTGCCAGTCTCCATTATGTGCTGCCTCAGAACAGGCTCCAGGCCCTTCCTTTCATCTCCTTCCTAATGAATTAAAACAAGAAATAACTATAAAAGGGAAAAAGAAAAAAAAAAAAAGGCAAGATCTGAGGGGACTATTTCTTTCATTTATAGCTGAATGTGTGGCAGTAGACAAATGTATTGAGCTAATGTAGTGGCTGAAAGTTCAAATCTTACCTTAGGGCCATGGATGATAGAAATGAGGGAGGTACAGCATTTCCAGAGAGAGAAGATATTTAAACTACTGTATGAAAGCCTGAAAAGCATTTGGGGACTCTTAGTGAAGTCAGAAAGGTGCAAGTGGACCAAGATCCCCAGTTCCCTCTATTGTTTCTCCTCTTTGAAGCCTTTGTCTTACTGTACACATCACACACGCTGCAAAATGACTCCTGTGTGATGGCAGCACTCTGCCAGGTGCAGGAAAAGCTGTGAGTATTTTTGAGCAGGACACTGTATGTGATACATTGCACCCTTAGCAATTAAGGAGTTCTGCCCTCTGCCTGCCAACAAATGGATGGGAGAGAAGTGCAAACGATGTCCCAGCTTCCTCTTCTGTGGAAGCCGCAGATCCAGTCCTGTGCAACCTATATTTGAATTTAAAAGCTAAAGCATTTTTGTCATCACTATTCAGAACCTATGCCTTTCCTCATTCACACTGCAGAAGATCCACCAGTGTGTGTGAGGATGCACCTGTGTGTGTGGGTGTTTGCCCACTTGCTGATTCCATGCAAAGCCATAGAAAACATGGGATTTGGCAATTGCACTAGCGTGGATCCAAAATGGATTGTAGAGATCCCTTTTAACAGGGATGTTGATGATTTTGGGGAGTTGTTCTGGAGCACTCACTTGCAGGTGTTGTGTGTGGTGGTGATGGATGGGCTACTCCTGTGTTCTGTCCTTCTTGGACAGATTTGCCCTGAGGAGCAAAGGACTCTGATGGAGTCACAAAAATAAAGCCACCAAATAGCGCGGTGTGATTTAATTGCAAACCAGCTGCATCAGTTCTTCCCCTAGGGTGCACTCTCTGTGTGTTTGGAGATGCATCTTGTCATAGGGGTGAGGGTAGGAGAAGAGGGGGAACTTGGAGAGGGGAGGCATCTTTTTAGATATGTTCAAATGTAAGTTTCTGAGGTTATTCTGGAAGATTTGATGTTTGGGGGATGGATGAGTCTAAGCTGAATAAAAATGCTTCATCCTGCTAGGCTTCTCCGGAGACTTGCATGGCTCTGGGAAGTAGAGATAATTGTAGGGTAGTATCTCCATTTTTCCTATCACAGCTTAATTTATATTAACCAGATCAAACAGTTTTTGTGCTGCCTGTGCAGCTCTACTAAAATAAAATGGAAAGCTGCCACTGCTTTGCTCAGCTCGACAAGACCCCAGTGCTTACTGTTTGCTTGCTCTTGTCAGTGCTTTATAACTAGTGTGCGAGTTCAAGGTCATGTTTGTAAGAGGCATTTCTGGACAGAAGCAGCTCCCTTAACGTTGCCAGTTTAGTTTATCTGTGGAGAGATGTTTCTTTCCAAATATTCATGAAGTGTTGTATATTGAATGATGTGCAGAGCAATCTAGCAAGTGCAGTCAGTGGTTGGAGTCAGTGTGGGCAACTCCCCCCAGATTTATTTCCTCTTCAGTGTACAAATTGTGTATTTAAAACGGGGGGGGGAGTCTTCAAAACAATAAAAAACCCACTACCCTTAAATCTTTAGTTTTAAGGCCTGTTCTTGAAGGTACCTAAAAAAGGCTGACTCTAGCGATTACATGGCCCTTGCCTTCTTGTAGAACTTCTTTTCACTTGATGGGTTAAGAAGTCAGGTTGGCATCCCAAGAAATGAAATGACACTTAAAAGTCCATCATACAGGTGGTCAGAGCATGAATCCTAGGAGGCTGAGGCAAGCAGCAGGAGATGGAATGAGTGAGTGGGTGCTCTTTGAATACCTTGGCCTGTCAATGCGTGTTCTTGGAAAGGGACAGATCAATAAAACTGACCAAAGTGTAGTCTACTCTGTAGCTCTGAGTGTTTGAGGTCATTTCACTGGCTAAAGGGCGAAAAATACCATTTTCTCATCAAGCCATTTTGCAAAGGGGCCTTGCCTTTGTTTAGTGCTGTGCTTAGATTTTACCACTTCTTAGTCCAAGCCCAACACCAGTTTCTTTCTTCTCCTGTGCCAGTCATCTCTGTGGGGGCATTAGGTCTCTCCTCTGGTACACTGGTCTCCCTTATTCCTCTACCTTGCTGTACTTTTTCTGTGCACAAGTACCCCTGGCCTGATATTGCTGTACCACTCGGTATTTGGGAACGTTGGAACAAATTCCCTTGTTTTAGCTGTGGAATTGGTAGCAGAAAGTAGCACTTGGAGTTTTTGTAAATCCTGCAGTGTAAATCCTGACTATTTCCTTTCCCTGGGGTGACTTTTAAATGTACAAGAAAAGTTAATCAAAGACATCCGTAAGCTGTTCATATATGGATTTTACCATTTAATTATAGATCTTCTTTTGGGGTAATGTTTCTCTGAAGGGAAGCTTGACAGAGCAGATGCCGTTTTGCCTGGAGATGCATTTCTGGTATTGGCCCAGTGAAGAGCTGCCACTTCAGCTGTGGGATTTTGATGATTGCATGAACATCCTGCCACATGAGATTAGAGTGGCGGTACTACCTCCCAGCTTCAGGATGTGAAAGATCCGCCTCTTCATTAGAGCTTTCATATGGTGGCAGCTGAAGTGAGGAAGAACAGGGGAAAAGAGAGAAACAATTTAAGAAAACCAAAGGCAAATCTGCTAAGCTAAGAGGCGACCTGAGGGGAGGGAGGCTGAGATCTCATTACTGTGTACTTATGGAAAGGGAGGGGAAGAACAACAGATCAATTGTTAAGCATTACTGGCTTTATCAAAATAATTGTCAAATACTCACATACCGCAATTGCAAGTGTAGTACTAATACCTAAAAAGAGAGAGACAAAGCACGTGGAAGGAATTTGTGTGGTTTCTATTCATGTGCGCACTTTTGTCTTTCTGATTTCAGCAGACAGAAGGAGGGGCACAGACAGATGGACAGCAATCACAGACACAGAGCAGTGAGAACACCGAGAGCAAATCCACTCCAAAACGACTTCATGTGTCTAACATTCCCTTCCGCTTTCGAGATCCTGACCTTCGGCAGATGTTTGGGGTAAGTGACTGGTACCTTTTAAGGCACAGCAGATTCTCCTTTCCCACTGGTGAGACACGTGGTTCTACTGTATTCATGTGAAGGAAAAGCCGTTTTCTCTCCATATAGTCAGTACACTGTAAAATATTTGCAGGATCAGGACAACTGGTAGTGTTTACCTCAGCTGGTAAATACACACAAAAACTATAGCTGTGTTGTTCATATAATGATGTTGAGTGTAACCTAACAATTGGTTTGGAAAAAAAAAACAAAAACAAAAGTTCATCTTATTTCCCAGTAAAGACTAGGATTAAACATTGACTTAATATATCCCTTGCAAAGCACTATTTTCAGTTGCTTAGAAACTTGTTGAAATATTTGTCTTCCCTCATGATCCACTTCTGTGATGAAAAATTGCTGCAAGGAATTGGCCAACTAACTATTGCCTGTGGAAAAGCTAGTGCAAGTCAGATGGTATTTTATATTGTGTATGATGTACATGCTGTTTCTTTTGACCAAATAGTTTGTCCTCCCTAATCTTCGTATGCTATTCGTCATTCTCAATTTATAAGCTCTTTGAGGAAGAGTTTGTTCACATAAGTATAGGTGATGACTCATTCCATGTGGACACAGAGATAAATGAGTTAGATGCTTCATGATCTAACCTTCAGGTGAAGTTATCTATATATCATCATCATCGTGAATCCTTGACTTGTTGATATGATGGTAACAACCTTGGTTGATGGCATGTTTTAAAGTCTTCAGAAATATTTCTTATTATATAAAGTTAACAGACCTTAAATGTTGCTCCCTGTTTAAGATGCAGTGAAGAGGACTCAAGTCAGGAAAGACCAAAGCTAAGGTTCCTCTTACCCCCTTGGGCTTTGAGTGTATACCTTGGTCCTAACTACATAGCCAGCTGCTCCTCCAGAATCTTAGTGTTCCTGTTTCAGTTGTTGGATCTCTTCAGCCATCCGTGTGGGTGTGTATGCATGCACATACACACACTCTCTCATATGGAGAGTAGTGTTACAGTATGTAAATGTATCACATTCATGGACTTCAAGCTTAGACTGCTAGAAATGAGAGAAGAATTGGGCTTATCTGTTCATAGCTTGGACAGCACAAAGTGAACAAAGCGTGCAGAAATGTTAAAAATGTCACTGATGGTCTTCGGAAAGAGTCCCAATTGCTATATATTGTGAGAGATCTTTGCTCTTTGTTCTTGAAGCTTTTTGTGTCCATGAGAAGCTATTTTGTGAATGAGACCAAATGGAGAGGAGAGGTCAAAATGCAGGAGGACAAGTCTGCTGTTCGGAGGGACCTGGCCAGGCTGGAGAAATGAGCTGACAGGAATCTTAAGATACTCACCAAAAGTGAGTTTCCAGCCTTACATCTGGGAGAGAATAACCCCTGCAGCAGTACAGGCTGGGGACCAGTTGTCTAGGAAGATGCTCTGCAGTAAAAGGTTTGGAGGTTGTGATGGACACCAAATCAAACATAAGCAGCAGCGTGCCCTTGCAGCAAAGGTGGCCGACCATATCCTGGGCTGTGTTAGTGAGTGTAGCCAGCAGGCCCAGGGAAGCGATCCTCCCCTTGTCTTCAGCAGTTATTGGACTGCATATGGGATACTGTGTCCAGTTTGGGCTCTGCAGGGCAAGAAATGCACCTCCTCAAAGTGAAATACTGGAGCAAGCCCAGTGAACACTACTAAGGTGGTCATGGGCTGGAGAACATGGGATGTGAGCAGAGTCTGAGACTGGGGCCTGTTCAGCTTTGAGAAGAGAAGGCAGAGAGGGGATATTTTTGTTGTCTGCAACTTCCTGATCAGAGGATGCAGAAAAGATGAAGCCACGTTCCTTTTGGTTGTGTGTAATGACGAGATGGGAGACAACAAACAGAAGTTGGAACATGGGAAGTTTCAATTAGATATCAGGTTTTTGTTGGTGGTTTTTGTTCTTTTGTTGGTGGGGGTTTTTTGTTTTGTTTTTTACTAGAGGGTGGTTAAATAGTGGAACGTGTTGCCCAGAGCAGTTGTGGAACCTCCATTCTTGCAGGTATTTGACTTGACTGGACACAGCCTGGCCAACTGGATCTCATTGGACCTGCTTCGAGAAAGGGTTGCACTAAATGACCTCTGGAGTCATAGGTCCCAGCCAAAATTATGATTCTGTTGCAAGAGGCCTGGGTTTGCTTCTGTGTTGTTCATACATGAGATTGTCACATTCTTGACATCCATGGGAATGTTTTCAGGGTAAAACTCATCTCCTGGCAATCTGTGATTGCTGAATCTGCTCAGTCTCCTGTGTGCTTTTGTGTTTTTCACCTAGCTTTTTGCTGTTGCAGGGCTGTGTGGTAGGCAGCTCCGTCTGGTCTGGATAAACCGATTGCTGAAATCACAGCCAGTTCTTGGACCACCTGCTACAATCTGTGTTTAGCACGTCCTGCTCTGTGCTACTGCTGCCCCTCTCTCCTGGGAACTGCATCACTGACATAAACTGTTCCATGCTGCTGCTGCCCATTCCCTTGAGACTGGTGCTTGGCTTGTCAACTGGCCCCTTTCACGCTCCTTCACCTTGATGCTGTTCCTCCCTGTGCTCCTGGTGTTGGGGGATGTGGATGAAATGAAAATGACAAGAACATCCCTGTCCTGGTGGCTCTTACCTCTGCTTTGCAGATGATGGCACCCAGACAATGCGAATGAATTGCTGTCCTGATAAGTGAGTGACTTGTAGAAAACACAGCCTAGCTGATCGCATTAAGGTTTCCTATCCTTTTTTGGGCCCAAATAGTGACACTTACTATACACTATATGAGTTGATTTCCGGTGTTCCCCAAGTAATTTTTTGTTTATTTTTTATCTAAACATCATCTCAAGTTCCAGTACAGTGATGTGATTTTAATTGGGGTAAATGGTATATTCTCTATAAACCCTTTTGCTAGTTCACCTGGCCCTGTGTTTGCTGAGCTGTATGCCTACCACAAGAGCATTCTTTGGGGCACAAAAACCCATGTGCCATTTTCCTGTAATAGAGAACTACTTTGCCAAGGAAATAATCAATGGTTCTTGCATGCCTTCCTTTTTCTCTCGGTGCTCCTTCTCTCAGCATGCTCATTCCTCTCTGAATCCTGCTTGCTCCTATTTCTTTTTCAGGATCAGAATGCTTTCCCTTGGGTGACTCGCTGAAACCAACCCTTTCTCCTACAGGGGATTCATGGTTGTCTGAGTCTTCAGCTGTGGCTAGCCTGTAACCCCTATCTTCTCCCTCTCCCTTCTGTGTGTCAGGTCACATCTCCTCAACGTCATATCTGGGAGACTCAAAATCACTGCCTGGAGCGATATTGCCAAGCTACTGTTCAAAGAGTGGAATTGGGTAGACAGCAAAGCCGTGGAAGAAGAAATAAGTGTGATGGTAGGGAGGGAGTAAAGAAGTCCCCTGAGGATGGAACAGCATGTGAGAGGTCAGCCCAGTCCTGGGGTGTAGAACATTAGCTAATGCTTTCATCCAGACTTGAGTAGAGGTGGACTTCAGATGTGTTGTCCCATGTGTGATTAAATGGATATTACGTAACACTTTCTAAATCTTCACTGTTTGTGAGAGCTGCAGACATTAAGCATTTCCTGATAAATTCAAGTTATTTGGGTTTCAAACCATCTCTGACCTGCTACATGTTTCTAACAGGTCCCCAAGATATCCTCAGGAATGCAACAGAACATTTCCTTATATATGTGCTTCTTATAGGGAGGCAAATAAAATAGGCAGCTTAAAACGCGTAATATTTACTTGACATTTCATGATGCTAATAAAAAGACTTCCAGAAGGCTTCTAGAAGGAATAGGTCTTTTTTTAATGCACACAGTTCTGCACCCACTGTGGAATAAATCAGTAGTTGACCTTGTTCTAGCAGATAAAGAAGAGTTAATAGCTGACCTGAAATCCCATGGTTGCCTAGGTACCAGTGATTGTTATTTGTCTGTATTTACTTTGTGCAAACAGAATATGGCATCAGGCAGTAATGTAAGGAGCTTCAGAAGAGTCTGTTTCTTTGAGTTTAAACAAGTGGTAGGATAACTGCACTGAAAGGTACCTTTAAAAGTGAAGTGTTAATGGGAGCTATAAAGTATTCAACAAAATCACACTGATGGCCAAAAAGGCATGATTCTACAGTCACTGAAACTATATTAGTAAAACACAAAGCGTTCTGCACGTTGGGCAGGGAGGATGAAGAGGAGGAAGAAGTAAAAGGCAGCGAATATAATTGTAAATGTAAACAAAGAAGCAAGTGAGAAAGGAAATGTGCTAGTCATGCAGGTGTAAGTGATGTGTAGGTTCAGAGAAGGCGTCACTTTTTTACATACAAAGAGAAAAAATCTAGATATAGGTCCAGTCTAAAATTAGGAAACAGTTGTATGGTTTTTATTAACCAAACAAACAAAAACAACAACAAAAAACCCAGACTAAAACCAGAAAGCCCAACAAAAAACCCAGCTTGCTGTGTTTCTGATGTAACAGCAGATATTTGTACCATATCTGGTTTTGTATGCAATTTATAACAAAGGAGAGTGAGATGGTGCTTGCTAATATTTGAAAAACCAGCAGATCTAGGTGAGGTATATCCAAAGATAATAGCCAAAGCAAGGAACTCTTTTATTCATTAATGTTAATTTTTAGCCAGTACTTGTAAGCTAGGGGAGCTGGAGAAGGCTCAAACGCTGCCCACCAGGATTCATTATTGAAAAAACTGAAAGGCATGACCTAAAGAGCTATGAACTGATTATCCGTATGTTGATCCAAGATAAAAATAATTTTTTAATGTTTTAAAAAAATTAGAATCTGAAGAAACAGTTTAGTATCTGTTCAGTGTGACTTTTTATAAGTTAATATACATCTTTTCAGACAAATATTGTCTTATTCTGACAAGATTATACGAAGCAATACTGATAGTTGAATATTGCTCAAACAATTGAATTGATCCATGTGAGCAATTTTTATTTTTAAGAAAAGGAATATTTATCTTAA